TGTTGCTTGGATCTGGCTGTGTGCTCGACTTCTTCCTGCTGCAGGCGTTAGAGTTGAACCCTTTGTATTTCTCTGGGAAGATGTTCTGCTCCTGAATCAACTGGGTGGGTCTTGCCTCTAGCCTCTTTGCAGGGAGTTCTGCTGAAGGGTTCTGTGCTGGGCCTGCACTCTGGGTCGAATGAGGATCCCAAGGCCTCGGTCGTCTCACTCACTCTCTGGGCCTGTGCTCTGGGTCTATTCGGGATCCTGTGGCCCTCAGTCCTCTCACTCACTGGCCAGGCCTGCGCTCTGGGTCTGTTCAGGATCCCACAGCCCCGGTCATCTCACTCACTCGCCGGGCCTGCGCTCTGGGTCTATTCAGGATCCCAAGGCCCCGGGTCCCAGTATTTTCAGTCTGTGGGTCTTGGAGCTGCAGATACTGAGCCTATGGACATGGGGGGTTCACTGTACAGCTGTACACAATGTTCTCAGTTTAGAGGCAGAGAAGATGGAGTTTGTGCACATTCTGCACCCTGCTGATGTTCAGTTAGTGCTGCTAAGAGCTCAGCCTTAGCTTGTTGGTCCCAAGGATCTGGCTTCCTGTCCTCTCTCAAATGGATATTTCTAGGTTCTCCATTTATCTGAGAATAAAGCTAATTCTCTGTTTTATGCTCTCAGTGAGATGCCACTCTAAGCAGGATAAAATTGTCTTAATGAAGTATCAGGAGGGAACACTTACCCATCCAGTTCTGCTGTTTCTATGTATGTTAGACCATATGGCTCACTGCTTGAGAGCAATAGTATATCTGCCTAGGATAAAAAAAAGCCAGAGAAGATGAGAAAAACAGGCCCTTAACATCACAGTGTGACAAAAGCAGTCCCTTAGGAATAGATATTCACCCAAAGAATTTTGCAGAGTTGGTTTCACTTTCTTTTTCTGGGACCTATCACTGCTACCACATATGCTCCTCCAAAGTTATTCACGTTTTACCTGCAGCTATGGTGAGATGGATGAGGATCAAGTCTTACCCCAGGAGCTGTTGATCTCCAGGGCAAAGGAAAGCAGACGAATATCACCAAATGCAGTGGTAGTAGAAGTGCCCTGAGCATCCCCAGTTCCTACTCAAGCCAAAACCCCAAAAGCCATAGCCAGGAGAGGTACTCACTGTAACTGGCTGATTATTTTTTAGTTTGATTATATCTCCCACTTGGACATTCATCCATTTGTCCTCTTCCATCCTGTAAGAAAATGATCTTTGAATGTCTGCTCTGAGAATTTCCCCAAGCTCTGTTTTGATAGCCAAGAAACAAAAAACAAAACACAAAATGAAACAGGCTGAGATGAATAAAGACAAAGGCCAGGAGGACCAAATTGGTTTGCAATATGTCCTTGCTGTATTAAGAATGAGGCCCATTTCTCTTGACTTAAGGCTCTAAGGGTGTCCTTAAACTCCATGGAAGTATAGGTAGATAGATAGACAGACAGACAGATAGATACACATTCACTTAAGAATTTTAAAAGGAAATACTTCAAATAGCAAGAAATATGTAAAAAAAAAAAAAAAATTAAAGTCTCCTTTCTTCACAGCCTCTCCCCTGCTCCCCAAAGGCAGCCTCTGCATTTTCTTGTATTTTGTCCTAGAAAGTATACAATCCCATATTATTTATACATTTAAAAGTTATATACCAGATATGACTTTCCCTTAATAATATATCCTGCCCAGTATGTTGGCATATAGATATTATAGGTGGCACCCATAATCCCATCATTCAGGAGGCAGGACTGCCATAAATTTGAGGCCATCCAGGGCTACACAGCCTGAACTACACAGCAAGACCATCAAAAAAATAAAAAATAAAAAATCCTGAAGAACATACATTGATGTTATGGCTCATTCTTTTTAATAGCTGAGATGTACTCTACCATATAGCTGTGACAAATTTACTTATATGAAATTGGATTACTTTTGACCCGTGAAATGCCATTCCCCATAAGAGGCAGCCTGGAAGAGTGAGCAGATTCTACAGTGACACCAACTCTATCCTTCCTCTTTTTGGACTCAGTTTCTCCAACTGCATAGGATTTGTAAGTCCTTCCTCCCTGACAAAGGACTAAGGAGGATGTACACATTGCCATAGCAGTTTGGAATCATTACCTCTATGAAAAATTCTGTTATGCTAAGTACCTACTGAGCTGGAGAAGAGAGGGCATATTTCAAACCCACTCTCCACTTCATCTTTGAATGTAGTGTTGTCCCCTATGGACCCTGACATACACCACTACTTTGCCAGACACACAAATGAACAGGGCTTCTCAGAACACCTTTCCTTTAAGAAGGGCCAAATTTCTTTTATATAAAAATTCCTTTAATATATACTCAGTCTTTGAGAATTTTCTGATAGTACTGAAGATTAGTAGCTTTTATTTTCTTTTGGCCTGACATTTACTTCTGTCAGTTTTCTGGCATTCTATCTACCATTATTTTTATAGTGAAGCATGAAGAGGAAGCAATGCTATATAACATTCTCATTTCTCCTGGAGATGTAAATGCTTGTATTTTATTACATAAGAAGTTGCCAGACTATTACAGTTTGTTCCTAGACAATTTTAACTACCATGTGTCCCACACTTTGGAAAGGGGCAGATATTCCCTACTGATTTTAAATATGGAATCTATATTTTAGGGAGAGGGACGTCTGACTTCTGAACTGGAACCTTTCTTGTGGTAGCAAGGAAAGAGCGGAAACCACCTGTCACACAAGTGGCAGCAGATTTAAAAATAAGTGTTGGTCAGAAATGCCAGAAATTTTTTTTTATAGAAGCATGCCTCACTGTTGAGAAGCAAGGCAAGCACAAGACCAGGCCAAATCTCCATGGTCTCTTTGGGTGGAAGACAAATCACACCTCTGGATTCTCTTACGCAGATGCAAACAAGAACAAAGGCATCACCTAGGAAGAGGATACATTGGTGGACTATTTAGAGAATCCCAAGAAATATATCCCCAGAACAGAAATGATCTTTGCTGGCATCAAGAAGAAGGGGAAAAGGGCAGACTTAATAGCTTACTTCAAAAAGGCTACTAATGAACAATAGCCACTGTCTTATTTATTATAGAACAAATGTCTCAAGGCTTTTTGGTGTACCACAATCTCATAGGTATCATACACAGAATTTGCATCATTAGTGGCTGACAGAATATTTTTGTGTGGACAATCCTGATTTAAGTGGCTTATAGTCAAATGGATATCTTTTTTTTTTTTTTCTCAAGTTTTGATAGTAATTCCAGTTCAGTAAATACTTCCACTGTTTTCCTTTTCTAAATACATGTCTGGACTTTATTAGTAATGTTGAACTCCTCATGAAGATTGAAAATGTCATCTCAGACCTACTGAAGGTTGGTTTTTATATTTAGTTTATATAACTGATTATGTGAATATGTTTAAATACTGAGAGAATCCTTCATTGACTCAAAACCAAGAAAGACTTCCGTTTCTATTTGTATTTATTAGCCTGTTAAAGGGAATGGTTGAAGACAGAAAGCAACATCTATATTTTGGTCTTGACTATGCCAATTTGATTAGAATCTCCTGTATCTAAAAAAAAGCTGCCTTTTACTTTACCAAAAGGCATTTAAGTGTGGTGTATGTAGTAACACCAAATAAATATCCAACATTTCTCACAAAAAAATAAAATATGGACTCTTGTTTGGCCACAAGTACATGTTAAGTTTCTAGGCATTGTGCCCTAGCTATGGCTTAGAAAGTGTATCAGAGAGCTACAGAAGCCAATACTTTGACTTCAAGGGAGATCACTCACATTATATTCTGTTTTGTATGAATGGTCTCTTGTGGAGTTCTATGACACACAAGTTTTCATATTAGAAATACCAGATAACATAAAGCCAGTATGTTTTCAAAAGCAAGGCTATACTTGGCATAAAGTAAGGAGCCAGGAAAAAAGAGGGGAATGAAATCTAGAACAGTAAGCATGGTCTAAAGATCTTGCCTAGTGGGGGCAATGGGATTACCAGGTGTAATAGTCTACTAGTTTGAGTTTTAATTTTTCTCTCAAAAGAAATAAGAGATGAAGGTTTATGATCTAAAGAGGTAAGAGGTTGGAACTAATAACTCCTCATAAATAGCAAAAGGCTGATCTATAAAAATAAATGAAACACACACACAATAAATCAACACACTGGTAAGACAGTTTGTCTAATATCATACAGGTTGGGTGGGTGGGTGGGAGGTGAGTAAATAGAGGACTCTGCCCTGAGAATTTGAAATTTCAGATGATATAAAGTTCACATTTAAACTTCCTCCTGCTGGGTGTGATGATGCACATCTATAATCTTAGCACTCAGGAGGCTGAGGCAAGAGGAATGCTATGAGTCTGAGGTTAGCCTGGGCTAATAGTGAGACGAAGACCAGCCTGAACTACATCACAAAACCCTTTCTCAAAAAGACTAAAACAAAAGAAGACAACAACAACAAAACTTCCTCCAAGTTAAGTGTTGGCAGGTGAAACCCTAAGTCACTTGGCAGAAACAAATACAAACCTTTCTAGAGGGATACAACTTCAGCTGAGGCTACTTAGAGTTACTTAGAGTTTCAAAAAAAAATCTGTTTATTTGTTTGTTTGTTTATAAGATGAGGTCTTACTCTGCAGGTAGGCTGGCCTTGAGATCACTATATAGCCCAGGCTGACCTTGAACTCACAGCAATATTCCTACTTCAGCAGGAATATTTGATACTTGGGGGAGTTCACTTGTCTAAGTTCATTTATTCTGTGACTCCCTAGCTTGTCCAGTTTCAAAAATACTCAGTTTTGTCTCTTCATTTCTATTTCCCTTGTTTTCTTCCTAACCACAACTGACCTTTTGGGTGTCTTGTGAAAAGTTTTAAAAGTTCAACCCTTTGAGGTGAACACCTACTGTGAGTAACAATCCAGCCCAATAAACAGAATGATGATATGCTTAACAACTTCAGATAATCTGATAAAAAGTTATAGCTACTAGATGTTCTCTAAGGCTAGCACGAGAAAGTCTGCACCTCAATTTTGAATTCCTTTAAGTTTTCACTGTCTTGGAATCATGGCTTTGCTCACAGTAGTCACTCTTCTTTCATGCAATGCCTGTGTGTTGAATTTTTCCCACCCCTTGATTCCTGGCACAGATATCACCTCTCCTAGAAAAAGGAGACTCCTCTTCTTTGATTCTCCTTGCCAACTATAATTGCTATAATAACCTCCTATTGTACTTCTTATGGTAGTCTATCTATTTTGCTTTGTACAGGAATATGCTTTCCCCCTTACAGTCTTGCCAACTTTTTTTTTTTTTTGTATTTTAGGGAAGAGTCTACACGGTATTCAGGGTCTCACTACTAGATCAGACTCATAGTGATCTGCCTGTTTACAGCCTCCCAAGAGCTGGGATTATAGGTGTGCACGACCACACCCAGCTCAATTGCCATCTCAGCACGCCCCAGGGGTGGGGCCAGCACAGCAGGCCTGGGGATCAATCCCCAGGTCTCTGGGCCTGTTTACAGGGGCTTTAATCCACTGAGGTATTTGGCCAGCCCTTGCCAGCTCTTTAGTGGCTGTGACCAAACACCCCAGCAGTGAAGTCAACATGAGACTGTCTTCAGATTGCAACAGGAAATATAACTTGACCAAAAGTAGAATGGCCAGCAAGCCATGACAGAATTATTATTTTAAAGACAAATGTCTCGATACTAACCTGAAAATATTCACTTACATATTAATATGTTATAATACATTAATTGCTTTCATATATATTATTTCATTTTTATTTTCATACACATTCTCTAAGGTAAAGAATATAATTTCCACTTTATAGACATCTGAAGCAACACTGCAATTTCAAGGCATGCTAGATGACCCCCAAATTCTTCCAATGTCCAAACAAGGTCCTTTTCATGTTCTGAATTGCCTTTCCAAATGACCCAGCAAGCCAGGTTTTAGCAAGGCTGACTCTCCCAGGAGCCAGACTGCCTGAACTGGCTCCTCGGAAAGAGCTTACCTGCCATTCACCAGCAGCAGAACAGGACGGTTGTTAACTTGATTATCATTTTGGTGTCTTTTCTAAAACCACACAAGAAAATGTTTAGGAAATAGACACACAGCAAACTGCACACAGAATTTTAACATTTTGAAATATTGCCCAGCATAGTTCCTGTCTTTGTAATTCTCCTTTCCCCCGACTCAAAGTCCTTCTACCTTTAACACCAGAGTAAGAAGGTGCAAAAGAAGATCAGTAAAAGGAGCCAAGGAGAAGAAAGGAACAAAGTCTTGTTAGATAGCAAAGCCCAAAGCCTGGGGAATGGTGGGGGGCAGGGGATGAGAACAAACAACTATGCCAAAGACCCGAGAACAGAGTACACAATGACAGACAAGACTAGATAATCTGTGGCAAGAGCAGGGAGAGCCCAGCATTCTTAGACACAGTCATGCCCTTACCCCAACCATGGAAGCTGCTACAGAAGGCAGATGCAGGGAGGAAAGGGGCAAATATTCAAAGGCCAAATATCAAGTGTACAAATTCATGACATTCCCTAGTGCCCCAACCCATAGGAATTGCCCTCCTGTTGAACTTATTGCTGGGGAAAAGAGGACAATGGAGTTAGGGTCAGAGAAAATCCTGCATTGGTTAAAATTCAGAATTGCCTGAACATTTATGCTGAAGAGACCAAATTCTGAACCAGAGCCAGCTGGGTTACCCTGAATAGGCAAATTGAGCTTTTAGTTGTCACTGGGAAAATTAGGGGTAGGGTATGTACATGGTTGTCAGTTAAAATTAGTTGTAGATGGCATCTGTTCAGAGCAGTGTGCAGAATGTAATGCTCTTTTGTAAGAAACGTTTTATGATTTTTAAAATAAATTTAGTGAATCTATTTTGGTGGTCTTTTTTTTTTTTTAAATAAAGACAGTCAATTTTCAAATGGTGGCTGAATTTCCCAATGCACCCCTAAACTAAACACTGTTTGATTTTCAGCTCCTCTGTTGGAAATAAGTACAGTATATCTCTTAGATAACAGGCAAAATATATTGGCAAATTCAGTTCTGATGATTTCTTGATGGTTTCAGTCATTGCTTGGGAAGAAGTTCCATCATACACATCATGCTTATAATAAGCTGGAGGATTTTTGTTTTTGCAAATGCTTGCCCATACTTTGCAGCAGTT